AAAAAAAAAAAAAAAACAAAAAAAAAAAAACCATCCCCCAACCCTTCAAACACCTCTTAAACCTCCGAATTAGACCAACAGTGTGCAAGGAAGATGAGCAATAGCGAACTTCAGCAATCAAACAGCATCATATATACAAGACCAGATACTCGTGACCTCGAACCAACAGCAGAATTGCATCACGAGTTTCACCAAATAAGAAAACACCAAGAGCTCATAATTGACAATGCTAGTAAAGTATCATCATCATCATCAACGAAGAACCAATGTTGATGTCCTATCTGGCGCTCGGCGCCCACACTACAGATGGCAGATCCTATCTAGCCTAGACTACAATGCCGAGGATGACATCAACAACTTTCCTGAAGTACCAGCATACAGCGACCAATGTCACACGCTTCCAGCACCAGGTATGTCTCTCGCTTCACTCACAACCTCGTTCCCCAACACACAGATGCCACTTGCACCCAAGGACCACCCTGCGCCACACCCAGCTTACAACAGCGGAACTCGACTATGGCTGCCTGCTCCTTCCTACTCGTCAGTGAGCGCTTGAGCGTTGGCCCGCTATTAGCGAAGCAGCGCTTACGCAACATGCAGCCAGCACCCGAACGCCAAATGCGGAGGCAGGCCCTTTTGCTATATGAAAGTGGCTTGCCTGCTTGCTTTCTTAAGCTGTGCTGGGCCTTTCCCAAGAAGCTTTCAGTAGGCCCCGGTAGGCTGAGGCCCAGTCCACACAACTCAGGCCCTGGGCCTGTAGTAATTGCTCATGCTAAACAGTCAACGGCCTGTGTTAGGCCCACATCCCGTATCCAGCCAAGGGCCTGCCTGCAATACATTGAAACAGGCTGCCCAGGGCGTGGGTTCCTCCAACCAACTGGCGCTGCGCAACTGCCAGTTTTTTTGGACCGAGGAGCAGCTTCTGGCAGTATGGGAGCTTGTTTTTTTGGACCGAGGAGCAGCTTCTGGCGGAGTTCGCGTCGCGGGGCCTCACGAAGCAGGTGTGCGTCGAACTGGGGAAACATTTCCACGACGCGGTGGAGTACGTAAACACTTGCAAACGGTGTCTTCCATACGAGAAGGAGTCCCTCGACGAAACGAAGAAAATATACGATGACGAGAGGTTCCCTAAATCTTTCGAGAAGTCCGTCCGCTCCATCTTGCGACGAACGGAGGAAGAAGTGCAAGATACGATCAGGGTCAGCAGGGATATGAGACACATCAAATGGCACAAGATCAACCGGGTGACCAGCCTTATTCCTTTCTGTTGTCCAGCTTCCCACGCTCACACTCGTCTCACTGAGATCCGCGAGATTGTGTGACATTGCGTGTGCAACTTGTACGTCCTCGATTTGTGTGACCCCACGCTCCTCTCATATTGGCAAGAAGACGATTTCGCCTCCTTGCAAGACGTTCTCCAAACCCTATCGCCAAGGCACTAGGCACTTATTGTCTTCTTCCCCTCTCGTTGGGAGCTCAGTTTCTTGAAAGGCATGACCAAGCTTAGAGTTCATCACGTCAGGACAAGGAAGTGGGTGCGCCATGCACAAAGGAAGGCCACTTTTCAGGAACGCAACATGCTGGTCGAGGAGAATGATCGTCTGTACATGGTTTTCAATGGCGAGAACCTTGCAGACAACACCGTCGCATACTTCCCGGCCAGTAGTCCATCGAAGCCTCCCCGTGCCAATGCTCCAAGTCCGGCCAAACCCGCGATGGCAGCCCGCTCGAAAGCTGCCTGTTCATCCCACCTGTCAGGACAGGCTGTGACCTGTTTCAACGTGGCAGACGAGGATAAGTTCCCTCATAGCCAGTGGGAGAACGGCGGCGTGATAAATGTTCGAGGAGCTACTTACGGGGACAGGGAGCGCAACCCAGCTCATCTAATTGGTCTGCTCGAGAACTTTTGCAGAGTTGGGCAAACTATTTTTTTCTTCGAGAAGGTGCACGCGTCTTCCATGTGGGAGCTCCTCCGCAGCGATCGGAACGTCGTTGAGTTTGTGGACGAGGCGAAGGTGATCGATTGATTACCTTTGCGAGTTCGTTAAGACATGCGTGGGGGACCCTCGCCACCATTGCTGTTTTGTCCAGACCACCGGTGAACGAAACTGGGATCCCAAACGTGATATGTATTGGAAATTACCTGAGAAGAAAAGGACGGAGGTTTGGGAGTTCCTTTTCCAACCAGGACCGCTTGCTCAAACTGACTTGGAATACAACCGACGGAGGAACCTGGTGTTCGGTGTGCTGAATGGTTACCACAATACACCGAGGGAGTCTGTCTCAAATTTCGTGAAAAGGCTGAAGCACGTTTTCTTCTTGATGGTCGAACTGCTGACCCTCGAAAACTACAAAGCGCAGTTCGACGAGGAGGACCCTTTCGACGCTGAGGACATGGAGGAGATGAGCGACTCCAAAACCTTTGATTTCGAGTCCATGTCACTTCCTCGGGTGGTTGCACAGGTTGATGATGAAGGGGAAGGTGTTCCTCGGAGATATAGCACGTCCCCTGCCGGTTTGAAGCGTGTGTTTGAGCGCGAAACAGTCGAGGACCAATCTTCTGATGACGGGGAAGAAGAGAGAGACTATGATTNTAGCACGTCCCCTGCCGGTTTGAAGCGTGTGTTTGAGCGCGAAACAGTCGAGGACCAATCTTCTGATGACGGGGAAGAAGAGAGAGACTATGATTTTGAACCTGGTGACAAGCTCCCTAGGAACCATGATACCTGGGAGAATGACAAACTCTTCTTCTACGGGAAGCATCACTAGTTCACGCTGGAGGATGTCTGGGGCCACAACTTCGTCTGGCACCCCAGGAAATTCCAACCTGCTGTAAAGACTGGAAAGTGGGTCATGGCAATGAAGGAAGCCGATGGCAAGTGGAGTGACATGAACAGACTGGGAGTGAGTCCATTTAAGAAAAAGGCGAGAGAGGCTTTGGTGGAGCATTTGAGGGTTATGAACCCCGACAGGAGCCTGCGGGACGTCAATGCGTATGCAGGCTAAAAGCTAGATGAGTTGTACGCCAACAAAATGTTGGAGTTTCGATCGCCTTTCTACGCATTGGAGACGACACCGTCTCGTGGCATTGACTAGCGCATGCCGCAACCTCCGTTGGGTGGTCAGCATCCGGGAGGCGGTGGGCGAGGTGATGGAGGAGACGACGCAGGACATGGTGGAGGAGGTGACGGAGGAGATGGCTCAAGATCTGGTGATGACGAAGCAAAGGGGAAGGGGTCAGGCGAAACGTCATCGGAACCAAAGGGCTCCGACGGAAAACGGTCCGGCGAAAAGGGTCCGACGGAAAGGGGTCGGGCGGAAAGGGGTCGGGCGGAAAGGAGACGGGCGGAAACGGGCCGGGAGGAAACGGGCCGGGAGGAAAGCGTAGAGCGTTCTGGAGTCATGAGTCTAGCGGAACTGAAAGCTGCTGCGAAGGGATTCGAGACTCGGGCATGCGAGACAAGGCGGCCCTAAGGTCTTATCAAGTGCGAGTACATTCACACTTTGTTTCACACCAAAGGACTTTGTTTCACACCACCGGCGAGCACAAAGTGCTGGAGGGGCCCGATGCAGGAGTGTTGGAGACCAGGCCTAGCGAGTATGATCATTACGCTTCGGAAGGTGCTTCCATTGATTTCCAGAGCAAGAGTGCATCGGATCCGGGGGAAGAGGAGCTGTCACAGGACGCACATGCTGTGCACCGGGGAAAAGGAGACTCAACATTGGCCGCCTAGCAGAGTGTCGGATGATCTCGACGCAGGAGTGTTGGAGACCGGGGCTAGCGGGCATCTACATCATCCTTCGGAGGGTGCGTCCGTCGACTTGGAGAGCAAGAGTGCACCACCTCGGGGAAAAGGGGAGCTCTCACAGGAAGCGCATGCTGCACAGTGGGAAGAGGAAACTCAACATTGGCCACCTCACGAAGTGCAGAAGGGGCTCGATGCAGGAGTGTTTGAGACCGATGCTAGCGAGCATCAGTGTCATGCTTCGGAGGGCGCATCTGTCGATGTTGAGAGCAATAGTGCAGCAACTTTGGGGGAAGAGGACCTCTCAAAGGAAGCGCATGCTGTGCAGCGGGAAGTCGGGTCGGGTGGAGGTGAAAGCCACTGCGAAGGGAGTCGAGATTCCAACACGCGACATGAGGCCGCCCTGGGGTCTTATGAAGTGCGAGTAGATTTACAATTGTCTGCGAGGACTTTGTTTCATGACGTTGAGGACAGTCCTCGCCGCAGTGCGCAGCACGCTTGTCCTGTTCAAGACGACACCTTGTTCCTGCACCTCTTAGAAGAGGGTGAACATTTACAGCGTGCGGCGGCATCTGTTCAGAGGCCCACTGTAGGAGTGTTGGAGACAGAGGCTAGCGAATGCGAAGGTCATGCTTTGGAGGAGACGCATGCTATGCCGCGGGATGAATAGCTTCTCGAAGGCTCGTCTGGAAATGTCATCAACATCGGGGACACCGATTTGGTTTTGCACAGCGGGTCGCCACTGACAACGCACGAGGGTGACGTTAAGGGAGGTCATGGGACGTTTGGGGAAGCTCGTCTTCGTGGCGAAGAGGAGGGCGAAGAAGAACCCGTCGTGGAAACTCGGTTTCATGACGATGAGGAAGGCGAAGAACCCGTGGGGGAAGCTAATCTTTTTCGCGGTGAGGTGTCGGCTCGGCTTTATGACGATGAGGCAGGCGAAGAAACCGTGGGGGGAGCTCAACTTTCTGCTGGTGAGGTGTCAGCTTGGCTTCATGCCGGTGAGGTGTCGGCTCGTCAGATGGGTTCGGAGCGGACAAATCATGATTCTCAGTCCACCAGCTGCGGTGAAGAGCAAGGTGATCGAGCGTCCGCCCTCATTTCCGGTCTGGAAATGGTGCTTCATGAAGCCACGGAGTTGGTTAGCGACTCAGCTGCCATTGAGCTGGTTAGCGACTCGGCGGTGGTCAAGATGCAGAATATTGAATCCTCCACGGACGTCGGTGCAATGGCGCGAGAGGAGGCCGGTTCCCCTCGACGGACTCCCGGGCACGGTAAGATTTGTGAACAGTAGCACTCGCGCATCTGTCCATGTTCAGCTCTGTGGTCATCCAGATTGAACTGATGGCCTCATGCGGTTATTACCACTTCTTAAACAAAAGTTTGTGGGTTGTGGGTTGTGGGTTGTTTTTTATGTTCCACAGGTGTGAGATTGTCAATGTCCCTGCCCATGAAGCCTTCGCAAGCCATGCGCAGAAAATCGTTTTCAGGGAGGTCATTGGCCGCTTTACTGAAGAAGTCCTCGTCGACTGTAGGGTTGTTTAAAAGGGTCCCGATGCCTCGCCTTTCCGGGAGAGCTATCAGGGTTTTGAAGGCTTGTGGAATAGATAAGGAGGAAGCTTTGCGAAAACATGTGGCTGCGTCTATCGAAAGCATTGTTGCTTTGTCTGACAGGTCTGATGACGACGCCAAACGGGGTACCGCCAAAGACCCGTGTCCTAAGTACATCACCAAAGACACATTCAGCAGTTGGGGTTACATGTTTTCTAGAAAAAGGGCACACAGTTCTTGACCGGTTCACCCCGGTGGTTTTGGCGCCTCCTCACAGTTGTTCTTGGGTGTTTGTGCAACTGCAGCGACATCATCTTTTCGCGTGCCGTTGTCTACTGAGGAGCTTAGCGGTGCAGACTTGAGAATCTTGCAGGAGGTCTGCGGGGATTTTAGCAACGGCCACGAGGTGGTTTCCTCGATTCGCAAAGGGACAAGTTCTATTGTGTTGAGCAGAAATTTTTTCAGACTCTTGTTCAGGGGGGGTGGCTTTGCGACGAGGTGGTGGAGTCCTGCTTGGCCTTGGTTGGCAATGCTACGTTGTCGGGGTGTCCCTGTGTTTATATTTTAAGTCCGTTTTTCTATACGAAGCTCGTCGACGAGGGATGTCGACATGATAGGGTTGCGAGATGGACAAAAGATGTCAACATTTTTTCGTACAATATGCAAATCATTCCTGTTCATAAAAATCGAGTGCACAAGACCCTGTTATGCGTTTGCGAAGGAGGGTTGGAGTACTACGACTCCCTCCTGCAAAACGATGACGGTTTTTCTTCCGGTGTGCTTGTGAACTTCATGAAATACCTCTGTGACGCAACAGTTCGTCAATTTGGTCAACACACGAAACTGGATCTGCCAGAACCCAAGGTGGTTGTTCATGGTGTCCCTCAATAGTAGGACAGGTCGAGCTGCGGTGTTTTCATGCTCCCCTTCGCTTCCTTCCTTGCACACGGTCATTCACCTCCATTTTCGATAGGCCAAAGCGACATTCCAAACATCAGGCTGAGGATGGCGGTGGACATAATCCAAGGCTTATAATAATATCCTTGTTTTGAAAAATTTATGCACAACGTTCCTTACTTGCAAGGCCATAAACAAAAGTGCGAATTTATTCCCACTTAGTCTAACAGTCGGGGGACTCGAGCTGTGGTGTTGTTTTGATGAGGTAGAGGATTGCAGTGGACACGTCTATCAAGTGCACGCTTAGATGTCGACATGAATATCCCAGCCTCGTGCTGCAATATTTTTTAGGGTTCTTCATTTCGACGAACTTGACAACTTTACACGTGGGACTGTCTTTGACTTTCTTGTTTTTTTAGTTTTCCCGATGCAAATGGCGTGTCCTCGTGCACCCTGTTTTTTAGGACCCCGCCAACATCGTGCTGCCTTCATTTGTTTCCTAGTTATTCTCCTTATTTTCTGCCATGGTGCAGTATCTTTTAAGTAGACGCTTAGATATCGGATGTGAATATCCCACCTTCGTAATGCCTTTGTTTGTTTTCGGGTTATTCTTCTTATTTCCTGTACGACCGAGGCAGCGTCGTGATGCGTTTATTCGTTTCCAGGTTGTGTTCCTGTGTTACTCATGGGAAATCTTTGTTTTCTTGTGGACATTCTTTACACGGATGCTCGTAGGACGAGATACTTCGCTTCATTTAGAAGATGTTGGTGAAGGACATCAGTCATTTCTTCTTGGTCGCCAAATTGTTTCGTGCTTATCTCATAGTTCATTTACCAAGATGTTGGTGAAAAATATAAAAGATTACTTCTTGGTCGCCAAATTGTTTCGTGCTTGTCTCTTTCTTACGAGAGACTTTACGGTCCGAAAGACCCCCCCACCCACCCACCCAACCCCCATCCCCCTTCTCCGCATACCGCCCCATTTTTTCGTTTCACCCCTCTGCTGTGCCCTCCTCCCCGCAAGCACCCTCCTTCGTGTCTCCAGTGAATGCTGATTGTTGCTTTCATGTGACAATTGCGAACTTCTTCGCAATTCGAAAATCAATTATCACCAGATTGTATGTGTGTTTGACTTTGTTTTATGAACTTCACAAAATTTAGTGGTGCAGTAAATGATCACCAATTTTGTTATCGCAAGAATACATGTCGTAGTCTCCATTGAATGCTTACTGTTGCTTCCGTATGACAAATGCGAACATATTCCCAATTTAGAAGCCATGCATTTCTGATAAAACCGTTCATATCTACAAATTTTCCAGAATGATTACCTTTTGTGTTGTCACCAGAAATTTGCTCACAGTTGCAAGTTCACCAGAAATGATCATCAACTGTGTTATCGCCAGAATGTGTGTGTGTTTGACCCCTGTGCTTCGACCTTGTTTGTCGCAAGGATCGATATGCAAGATTCGTCGAAATGGATGATTGCCCAAAATTGTTACCTTCTGTGTTGTCACCGGAAGACTGATCATGTATGCAAGTTTGCAAAAAATGATATTTTGCCGCAATGATTACCTTCTGTCTTATCGAAAAAAAAAGATACATCGTGAAAAAGATTGTTCTTTGTCTCATGTCTTGCCAATAGTGAAATTTGCTCCTCCATCTTTGCTGGCATTCATTTCTACCCCGCTTAAACCACCATAACGTCCGACGTCAAGAAAACGGTAACACAAGTTCATTAGGGCTGCCCGTAGTACAGACTGGAGAACCGCCAGCAGGGCATAATTAAAAATATGTCGAATCGTGTCCACGACTTACTTCGTGGTCCGAATGATTATCAATTAAAAGAAAAAAAATCAATGAAAAGATCACGAGCAAATCTACTGACCCTCCAATTTTGGGGGTCTGTGACGCATTCTTTGGGGCGCGAAAAACCGCTGAAGTTGTACAACTTTTCCTGTTGCCCCGCAAATGGCATTGTAGCAGAACTCGAACGTCCCCCAAATTGGCGCGACGGTTAATTGGAGGTCTAATTTATTTTTTTTGAAAATCCTTGATATTTTTTCTAGAAGGACCACGAGCAAATCTACGAACCCACGAATTTTCAGAATTTTCAGTGAATTTTTCTAAGCGTGAAAAATCGCCAAAGTTTCCGCTGTCAAACTGCGAGACTGGGCCCGTCGTTTCGGCCTCTGGTCGCCGCCCTCCCTAAGAACCCACCGGAACTCACGGGGGGGGGGGGGGGGGGCGCTATTTGTTGTTGTCATAGGCAGTGGTGTTTTAAAGCGCCTCCTCACCTTTTCCGACGATGCACTGCGTGAGAGCATGTGCGAATTGATTCGTAGTTCAAGACTACACATTTCGTTGAATGTGTGTGTGATGTAGTCTCCAGGTTTGCTCTAGGGAATTTATAACTGCCTTACAACGCCTCCTCATGTCTTCCGACTTTCGCTTTTAGCCTTTTGCTATTTCCGCTAAAAGGGGTACATATCGCTAAAAGTGGTGCACGAAGCCTTGACATATCGCTAAAAGGGGTGCACGACGCCTTGACGTGTCGCTACAAGGGTTGCAAATACATTTGATGTGTACTCCTTATCGTCGTTTTTGCGATTCCGGATGCCCATTCCTTTTCGCTAAAAGAGGTCGACACCGGGTCTGCCATGGGTGCTCGAGCGCGAAATGCAGCTGCAATCTAGTACAATGTGGAAATGACCGTAAACAACGAATAATACTTGTTGGCACCTGTGCCGCGAGTTTTCACTCGCCTTTATACTACGTCTGCTGCTGGACCTTTAAAATGTGTGATGCATAACCCCTGCGCTTTGATTTTATTTCTCGCTCAACTGCCATATTGACCGATAAAGATGCACCAGAATTGCAATGATTCACATCTGCGACAGTGGGAACTGTACGATGTCAAGGTCCTTAGGTGCGGAACGTTTTCGAGTTTGAAAATGGGTACTCCAGCTTTGCTGGCAGCCTCTTCCACAAATGGCATTGTAACATAACTCGAACATGCACCACATCGGCGCTACGATTGTTTGGAGGTCGAAATGATTTTTTTTAATGTTTTTGATATTTTTCCTGGAAGAACCACAAGCGAATGTAAAAACCCTCAAATTTTTAGAATTTCTGTGAATTCTTCTAAGCGAGAAAAATCGGCAAAGTTGTCGATGTCAAATTGCGAGACTAGGCCCGCCGTTTCGACCTTCGATCCCGCCCTCTGTAAGAACCCCCCGTAACTCGTTGACTTACCGTGAGGGCAAGGGTGCGCAACCCGAAATTTGTATATGCTTGATTGATAAACACACACAGAGAGAGAGAGAGAGAGAGAGAGAGAGAGAGAGAGAGAGAGAGAGAGAGCGCAAGTCCGACGTGTCGTTTCAACCACTGCCCAAGCCTGAGCACTTTCATCGCACAGAAGTGTCGTTTCAACCACTGCCCAAGCCTGCGCACTTTTGTCGGACTTTTCAGCCCCTGTCCCCGGCCTCGCGCGCCCTTTCCATTTGCCCTTGCTTTGCCACCGTTTCGATTTCAACCGAAACCAAAAGCGCAATCCCACCTGCAGCTACCGGTCCTTTATTTTTCAGACAAACTGCCACCACCCCCCAAAGTGCCACACCTGCACCTTCTTGCATTTTTCGAGCCTTTGAACGACCGAACAACACGACTGGTATAACGAAGGACGACGGAAAAATGTCTCCTTGTTTCAAAGGGGGAAAAATGTCACCGGCAACACAGGTCCCTCATTTTTCAGACAAACTGCCACCACCCCCCAAAGTGCCACACCTGCACCTTC